ACAACTAAGACGTGATGTAAAAAGTATTAAGATATCTTTATCTATTTTATATATAGAATTATATATAGATATATTTATATTTATAAAATATAAAGTGCAAAAAGATATATAGATTTAACTTAAAATTTTTTTATATTGTTTCTTTTTGTAATTTTGTATTCGTTCCAATTAGTGCCTTCCAAAAGTACAAACTAAATATAAAATTTTATATGAAAGTATGACTCACATTAATCTTAATATAGATATAATTTAATTTTTATTTTAATATATACAATGGATATACATAATAGAACACAATATTAAAAAAGAAGAAAAGGTTTTATTCTGTTCTGAAAAAATAAAGTTTTGTACTTAAATCTTCACAAAAATTATCAGTCTTCTTACTTTCATCTTTATAACAAGTTATAAACAATATAACTTCTTTTAATACACATTATATAAATTCAGAAAAATTAAAGATATATTTCCAATGTTTCCATCATTAATTAATAATACATATATAAATTGTGAATTCCACTTATCTACCAATGCAATATGTAATACGAACAATCAGTTGCAGGCTCTCTATTGTTATGCTGAATTATGTTAGAAGCAAAAAATTATATTTTTTTTTCTTAAATAGTATCAAAATATATTTTTTATGCATGTCTTAATTCAGTATAGCTGCAGTGAAAAAATAGAAACTTTAAAAGGACATAATACATTATTGCTCTTTGTAATACAATCTATATGTTGTTAGATAAGTGAGATAAATGTCGAGTACACAAATAGAAATACAATTATCACACATTATTCTTTATACCCTTGCACTTCACAAATATATAAGTTTATCATGTAAAAATCAAGCTAAATATATGTGCAACTACACAAGAGTATAAATATCCTTAATAAATGCAGATTTCTCCATCTAAATATTATTTCTATCTTAAATGTTATAAAACGATTCTGATTCTTATTCTTTAATGTAATCTTTTTATATTTTCATGAGTAAGAAGTATAGAAGCAGACAGTTCACATAAAATCCTAAAATAGATAGTATGTTATTCTTCAAAAATCTTCTTGAAAAAATGACATTGTTGACATGTTACAGAAGAATCTGGTATCATTTGAGTTCACTATTGATTTTTATTGGTGAACTCTCTCTGATAGTATTTAATTTATCTACAAGAGCCTGCATTGAACCACATCTCTTGTACTTAATTTTAGATCCAAAAACTTTTTGTATTTTTGCACGTCTTTTTTTCAGTTTGGAAGCTGATGATGGGGAGAACAGAAGCATCCTCTTAAATTTCTTTGCACCCATACGTATTGCAGTGTCATCATTTATATTGTCGTTCTCTTCATATATTGTTTCTAAATTATTTGATTTCCTACTTATCTTTTTATCTAAATAATATTCCTTGATGGTTTCATCTTCTGCCTCCACTTCAGAGATCATTCTCTTTCTTGGTCTCAGACTACATCTTATTGATGTATATTGTATTAATAGAAATGTACAAAAATATATACAAATCAATATAAAATGATTTATTACCTTCGATTAAGGATTTCTGTAGAAACAGGCTTGGGTATCCTTTTCCGAAAAACTCTCTTATTCTCTGTAGGTGGAAGATTTGTATCTATGGTAAGCATCTCTAAATTAGCTGTTATCACAGGTACATTAGTATTGTCTAGACATTCCATAGAGTTTCTGAAAAAACATAACAGCTTCTAATTTTTCTAAAAATAATTTTTATACTTCTCAAAAGATTTAACATATTTTGATGCCTGTAAATGAAATGGAACAACTATAATTTTTAAAGTAAAGTAGAAAGCTAAGTAAAAAAATTTACAAAAAAAAGAGGAAAAATAGGAATTATTTTATAGAATTATCAAGTAAAGTCTTTTTTTCAAACTTACGGATTTTCTGTTTGCTTCTCGTCCATTTGTATTAGGAAACGCTACTTTGTAAACAAGTGAAACCTTGTAAAATGATTGCGTTCAACAGAGAAAGCAGCTTTGCAATTATGTAAAAATCTGATATGATTGATTTTTGCTCTTAGTTCCTTATGGATTTAAATGTATAAACCAATCATATTGAATAATCAATCATATTTCCCGATGTCTTTCGAGCTCTTATGAAGTTTCATTCATTGAAAATATTCTGTGCTTTTCATCCTCAGGCAAAATGTATGTGTGTGAAGATAATAAAAAATCTGAGACTGACGTTTGTAGAAAATTTGTAGAAAATACAAAATATACTCCTTCACATATAGAAAATATATAGAATGCTGAATTGCAACATCAAAATGGAAAGCATTGTTCTTTTGCAACAAATAATTGATATCGTAATTCCCTTTCGTGTATTTCTTTTATCTTCATACGAAGAGAAAAAAATATACATACAGACTTTGTTACTTTCAAGCATCTCATATACTTCTCAGCTTTTCTCTTTCTCTTTCCTGATTAATGTGCACCTGGTTCATTATTAAGTGCGTGAACTATATAACCAATTCCAATTATAAACAGAGAGCAACAGAGAGAAATTTGAGAATAGCTTATCCCAGCTTTTTTTGTGAAACCAGGAGAAACCATCAAAGCCTCCTGCACACTACCGCCAATATGTCAATTTTTTAATTTGGAATTGCTTAGCTACATTTCATTTTCCGACACTGCTGATAAAATCGCATTCTGTGTGTCCGTGCTGCATCCACAATTCATGAATCAAAAATATGCTTGTATAATTATACACCTTCGCGTAATTTTCTTTATCGTAGACTAAAGTGCTGATTAACTTTAACATAGTATGTACATTTATCAATATGTTCATATTTATAACATTCATATAACGTGTTTATAAAAAAAAAGATTTTCTTCTTTAACAAAGTAATCATATTAAAGTAAAATGTTATATTTTTAAATATAAATATGATATATACATATTGATAAATGCATATACTAATATTAAAAATTAATTATAGTATAACATATA